CCAGCAGGTACACTGATTAGGACGTAAAACGTCATTTTATTTCTATATTGGTCCCTCTCAGAAAATTCATCTAAAAAATTCAGTGACTGCATGCCTTTAAAATAACTCAAATGAAATACAAGGTTTCTGACACATTGCCAGGCAGTGTAAAATTAGGGAATATTTAAAAAGCGGCAACATTGGCCTTTCGATCAAAAGCATAATGCCTATAACTTTACCTATACCTAGCTTTACTTACCTTAGCGTAAAAATAAAGATGACCCCCGATGTGTCCTAAAAAGGGCAGGGTTTCACTAGGATTTGAGAGTACTGGCACATAACCGAAAAATGTTAAATTCCGCGACTGTATCCCTTCAACTGTGAAAATGCATGTACCTCTCTTTACCTTATCATACTAGATAATAAAATGGTTAACTTGGAACCTGTGAAATCTATTCCAGAATAACGACCTTATTTCATGCAAAAAATCTGCTTTCTGAGATAGAGATATACTGTTTACATGTTATAGAATAATATATGAAACAAGAATAATATGTATATAACATATTTATGTTAAGTCTTTATTATTTTCCTGTAGTTCATACAAACTTGTTGATTGAGAGATATTTCTTCCGCTATTCAGTGCATCTTAAGTGTAATTCTGTTCATTCTGGGATACTTTACAACCACTCGTCTGCTGTTAAGATTTGGTGTTGTAAGGTGTGATTGCTATCGCCGCTGTCAGTGCTTCCATGCGTTGGTCCGATCTGTCGCCAAGCCCTTCCTTTCATACCAATTGTCTTTGAAGATAGACACTTTCTTTTAACACGGTCATTGTAGGGTCACTCATGGGTCCGTCCAATGTTGACCACCTTCCCGTTTCTCTGTCACGATTCCATTTCATGATTCCTTATGAATCCTGGATATCTCTTAACTTCGTCAGTCAGAACCACGTGAGCAATAGAACTTAATACCTGTCTTATGCATAAATCTACAGGTAGCTATACTATTTATATACCTATATCAACAAATTACATCTATATCAAACGAAACTGCAGGAAGTTTGTTTCTTTCATCCACGACTATTACTCATTTCATCACAATGTTACGTAGAGTCCAAGTTTCCAATATCACAGACTTGATCGGTAAGCTTTCTTCGGTGAAAAAGATGATGGGACATGAGCGATCAAAGTTATCATTTCTAACTAGCTATCTGATTGTGTTTTGTTTTGTATGATGACATTTTTATTTTATTTGTCCAACTTGCTTTGCTTGCAACGTGTGAAGTATCCAAAGCCACAAAAAGGCGAAATACTTGAGGTTGTCAAATTTCTAATCTAGTTATGAGATTTTGCCTTGGGTGCTGCGAGGGGGCGGGGACTGGTAACCCCTTTGCTCCCTTCCCCTGTCATCTCCACCTTTCCAAGGTAACTAACCTTACCTTGACAGATACATCAACACGTTTGTAACACGAACAGAAAAGGTTAATAATAACACTTTGTTAGTCTGTGTCAAAATTAATGCTCATTAAAACTCGACACTTGAAATAAACAAGACATTATATGATGATGATAATTATACTTGTATATTACATATAATAATATGTCGTGACATGCAAAAGCCTGATTAAAAATGAAATAAAATGAATGGAGTTTTACATCTCGTTTTCTGAATCTGATCGGACTCATGAAGACGAACAACTCTATGCAGTGTGCAATAAGGAGATTATTGCCAGGAATGTGGCTCTTTATTCACTTCCAACTCTGAAAGTGAACAGTCTGTAACTCCAGACTCTTGGTTTATTGTCCCATCCGAACGACTAGACGCTATTTTTCATGTCAGCCCCACTAGCCTGCATAGGAAACATTTTTGAACTGAAAGAGACCTTTAATAATCGTATATGAAACTAATTACCGTAATGATATTTATGACAAAATCACGGTCAGGTGCGAGCTATCCATCAACATATCAGGCTAATGAAGTAGGTTGTGTCTCGAGGTTTTACTACATTTTACCTTCTGACTTACTTTGTGGTTCATCTTCCACGTGAATTGTCGATAGCCAAGGTTTTACACATGAACATTGGTGGTTCGGACGATAGACGACACCTTATGGTTGATGAAAGAGGCAAAACAGTTAATGGTACCATCGCCCCAGAACTTGAAAATATTGAGTGGCCTTTAAAGGGTGTGTAATTTAAACTCTTTATGCGTCTATCGACCTCGTTTTCAAATAAATAAAGCTTTCCAACGTTTTTTTCTTCAAAATTTTTCATGATTTACTGAGATATTCAGAAACTTGACAGGCCCTTAGCCACAGGGGGGGCTGAAAAAATAAAATTAATCACCCCTCCCCCTGAAAAACTTCTGATAACCGACCAATTTTATTACTACAACTAAACACCATACACCATTGTGCCTTCAGATATACTACTTGTCCCTCCAAACAATCAAATCTGGCTACTGGCCTTAAATGTTGCTGGTGTGGGTGTGTTTTATCACCAACTCCATTGTTGTTTCCCAGAACTGCCAAAGACATCATTCTACTGTTTGATCTGCGAACGTATTTGATCCAGTATTTTATATATTGTTTTTATCAAGAGTATTATTGTTATATAACCATGGAAACATTTCTACATTAACCTAAATCATTAGTCTTAGCTGGAATCGATTCCTGCTGCCCTAACTAACCCGACTAACACCTTACTTATTTTCCTTGTTCTTTCTAATTGGTGCTATTGGTACGTTATATTGGCAAATAACTAGGTTCGTTTTGTAAGGTTTTGTTTTGATAATCAAAGCGTTATAATAATTGGCTAGGTTATGTAAGGTAATTCTATTACCTACTTAATAACGCTTGGTGCTTGACACCACTTTTAAGTACCGTGCTTGACCCAATGGCAGATTCTGTAGTCAAAATTTCAAAAAATTTCATTTGCTTCTTTAAAGTGTAGAGAGGATATCCAGAATGACCTTGTCATAATGGATTTTGTACGTTTGATGTAAGATCGTTTGAATATTACATGTTGTTTTTAATACTAGCATTGTAACATACAATTCCAATTATGTTGATTTGAAAAGGCAAGTCTCCAGTGAATTCTTATCGCTGGTTGTCCTTGAGAAAATTAGCCAGTAGTTATCGGATATATAGAGTTTTACGCCCTGCTGTTCAAGTCATGAGAAGCATTATATAAACACTTATTATCGATAGTTATTATTATTTTGGAAGGCAGAGAAAAAATAATGATATAATTTAGATAATAAGTTATTAGGTACTACTCATTCGTCCTGCAATTTTATCATTAGAGACGTTATATAACATGTTTTGTACAAGACGTTTCTTCATGAATATTTTTGTCATTCGGAGAATTATCATGTCGAGTTTTACTTCTTACCAATAATCTCTTTATTGCTGTAAAACTGTTCTTTTACCAAGTTCTTATTCAAACCTTTCTGTCATCGATTTTTACGACCGACTATCCAGAATGTTTTTTTCAAATACCAACAGCCAGACAACATTATTGCCGAGTACTTCTCTGATAGAGTCTGATATCGAGTTTTACGTCCTACTGTTCAAATACATTTATTATTTTGTGTTCGATTCAAGACGGTTTTCTTTTCAAAATACGAACATTTCATACCGCTTTCCGAATACATATTGATTGCAACAAGCAAACCAGTGGCGCCCCATATCACTATCGTAACGATAACGATAAATATGCGTCATATTGCTTGCAGACATGGATGATATAAAATTTCTATTATGACCTTGAGCATTATATACGCTCATTGATTGTCATCATTTATTCTAGGTCGAAAGACCAATCTCAAGAAACCCGGTTAAGTGGCCACCAATTCTAAGTAATATTCAGGAGACCTTGAACGATATTGATATCCAAGAGTATTTTACAGAATATTGTGTGTTATTAGTCTAAGAAGTGTGGGAATATCTAATTGATATTGTTTAAAGATTAGAAACCAATGCAAACAGTCCATTATTGGTTTCATATCTACTTAAGTCATTATTTAATAGATATAGTCTGATATAATGGCATACTTGTGATCATCTTGATCCATCAAGCTCGTAATTGTCGATCAATATCTTGCCCTTGTTACAAAGTCCCGCCTTCGTTAGCCCACATGGTACAGAAATGTAGGACGTAAAACTCCATTCATTTCATTTCATTTGTTACAGATTGATGAGTCAGTAAACACCGTGTCCTTGATACACACAAACCCATATCGTCATGGTCGTTGGAGAATAAAATCTTGGGTCTTAACAGTTGTTCTGGAGTTTTCCATATTTCGTGCAATGAACTAGAAAATCAATGTTCGTCCTAAATTTACACAATCGGTGCCCGAAAAAGATTTAAATCGAGGCACATTTCCAATAGATGTGCTGCCACTATTATTTAAATAAATGATTTTTTTTCTTTTGATAATGACATTTGTATTCTTCCAGGTGTCAAAATGAAGCAAAGGAAGGAACAAGCAAAGAAACGGATGCTGTATCAAGCTCCGTACAAATCTCCCATAGTCTTAGCTATAGATACCTGTTCACAGTCCACATGCTGTACCCAATCACCAAGCCGAGCAACAGCAACTTTATGTTTCACCAACAGTCAACCACCAACAGTACATCAGTTTAGATCAACACAACGGGCACCTGTGAAACCTATGACGTCAACACCAGTCAAGAATGTCCAGAACGAAAGGTATGCAACCGAACTTGGCGAATCTGAAAATATGATAACTTCAACGCCAGTTGACGCTGATCAAGAAACCAACAGTCCTGTGATACCATTCCAAAATACGAACCCAGTTGATAAGCAAGAACCACAGACATCATTCACACCAAAACGACAGTCAAGCGTACTGTCAGCGCCCACTACACCCAGAACTCCAACGATTCGTCCAAAGAACTTTGCAGTAACTAAACCCTGCACCACTCCAAACCGACAACAACGTCGTCCAGAGGTACAACACTACTTGGAAGCTAACTTACCGAGAACACCCAAGAAAGCAACTTCTCTGAAAGGAGTGATCAAAACAACCAAAAAAACAACTCCAAAGAAGTTCAACAAGATTCATCCTCTGAGTAAATCCAATGTGGATCACGACTTGCTGCGATATCATTATCTCACCAAGTCACCATCCGCTAAATCCAGCCCTGCTAGAACTGTTGCTTCTACTGCATCCTCTCGTGTTTTTGAGTTCCAATCATCTCCCCGAAGAGCAATTATGTTTCAGACAAGTGGATCTGCAAAAGAAGCTGTAAGTAGCTTGTAAACCTTTTGGGATTTGATTTCTCTGGCTTCAGATTATAATGCTGGCTTTATTAAAAAATTTGATCAGAAGGTCCCTTATCGAACAACACTCCCTGGGTATTCAGAGGGCTAGATAGGCGTCCTAAGTGTAGACAATATTGTGTTCAGCCAACAAGATTTTCGTATGCGCAAGGCTAAGTTCGGTTAGGTAGGATTAGGGAGCTTTCTGTCAACTTATGGTGTATCATTGTCTAGATATGCCTCTGAGAATATTCTGACAAAAGATTCACAGTAAGAGCACAAGCAAGCAGTCCATACCGATCTCCTTACATGACTGATATCCTAATTTTGTCTTTTCAGGCAAAACAATCAGTTTTACTGACCATCAGGAAGGTCGCTCAAGAATTGGCTAAATTAAGAAAACGAAGGCAGTTATTGTATATAGGTAAGCTAATAGAATGTGAAAAGGGAAGTACGGTATCCCTTGCTCTACAACGACGACAAATTCCTCGTAAGAGGTTTTCAGTTTGTGTATCAGGGACGCTTTTTAATTCATTTGCGCAATTCTAACTTCTGAGATAGCTGTAACAATGGCGTCACTATGGCAAAAACCAATCCATTTTGAAATTGAACTACTCAGAGAATCTAAAGAAACTTTTTTTTAAAAAATCTTTGAAAATATGAAGAAATCAAAAACTCCATTCAATCATCTATATTTTAAATCAACTAACTTCAAAGCAGGCACGTGTTGGCTTTAAATCACACAGCAACCGGAAATGGCGTATATACAAGTCTTTGAAGGTTGAACATTTCACCACCTTCACGTTAATTGAAATGAAAATAAACACAAAATCGCAGATACAGTTTCCAAGGTCTGGGATTATCAGCCAGATATACAGCTTCATGCATTATTTATGTGTAAACATTATATTTGATGGAATAACGTGGAGATAACACGGTATTTAACGAGATTACCACACGTGATAGACGAGAATCAAGTTTGAATTATGCATGTGTTATTGATAAACAAGAATCAATTCTTTGTTTTTGGAATGAAGTGAAAATTTAATTCAAATTTCAACACGAGAATAAGAAATGTATGGTGTATGATATTATTAACATGGGGTATCAAACAAAGAATGGACTATGTTAAATCAAGATAAGATCGGCTGTTGTTATTGGTTGATTTGATATGATTGCTATCTTCACCCATCCAAATTACAGATGATTTATATTCATTTAGTCTAATGGAGGTCTTCTAAATTTGCAATATCAATTTAGTTAATAAAAAAAGAAAGAAAGAAAGAGATGTAACGTTTAAAAACTGGTAGGCACTCCTCACATTTAATTGGGATTGAAGCAGTAAAATTTATATAACTAGACCAGTGGTTCCCACCCTATTTCAGCCCTCGCACCCCTTGAGCAATCACGTGGACCTTTCACACCCCACAAACTCGTTTCATTCACATTTCCAGCATGCGATGATGTGAGGTGCTCTCTCAATTCAAAATAAATTGTTCTCCTATACCAGTTGGTCACACCCCCTACACCCTAGTCCCACACCCCCAGGGAGGAACGAGGGTACAAGACCAATACTCCCTTATAGTGCCATACATTGGCAATTTTACAGACATGATGTTGTTGATGATGGTGGGACTACTGCTTCCGCTGATCTCTGTACAATCCCTAGCCGACAAAATACGATTATGATTATGATGATAATGATAAATAACGATGATGATGGTTTGCCACTTCAATGACTTACTTTTAATAATTATGATGATGATGATAATGATGATGATTATGATGATGCTTCCTGCTTCTGCTGATCTCTGTTCAATCCCTCGAAGATATATACGATATAAAAGCCAACAGGTTGATGGAGCGATACGTGATCGGTTGTCTAAATACCGAAATATACTTCATGATAATGATGATGATGAAGATGATATTGCGGCTGCCGATGCTAATGATAATGAAGACGAGCATGTTGACAACAACGACAACGCTGATGATTGCTGCTGTTGCTGCTAATGCTAATGATGATAATGACAACGATGATAATGACAACGACGATAATGACAACGACGATAATGACAACGACGATAATGACAACGATGATAATGACAACGACGATAATGACAATGATGATAATGACAACGACGATAATGACAACGATGATAATGACAACGACGATAATGACAACGACGATAATGACAACGATGATAATAATAACAACGACGATAATGACAACGACGATAATGACAACGATAATGACAACGACGATAATGATTCTGATGACAACGATGATGATGCGACTTCCTTTGCTGATGATCACTGTACAATCTCTACAGTACAATCACCACTGTACATTTTCAATTGTACAATCCCTTTAAACAGATGTGATTTATGAATCTTGGTGTTAACAGTGGGTTGTACAATTCCAGAGAGATTATCTTTACTGAACTTTTGAAATATCTCACAGAACAAAGATCCTACTGTATATTTAAAGGTATGATGTCATACAACCAATTGAGAATATATTAATAAATTTAGGAGTTGAGTTGTTGAGAAAAGATAAAGAAAATGAGTTATGATTACTTCCGCCAATGATATTAATAGAGAAACCAAAATAAACTTCAATATTTTAACGAAATCCAAATATTGTTTACAACTAAGAGATTAACAAAATGCAAGACCTAACTAGGGTAATGTGTCTAAAAATCCATTAGTCTTTGAACGCAACGCTTTCGGTAGACTTCATCCGGTAACGTCTTTTAAGCGGAAATCTATATTGTTGAACATTGCTTTTATGAATCTGGCATGCACTTTCGTCCTTTTATAATGTTACAAATTACAGTAGACCTAATAAGATCTGTCAGTCCAACCGTATTATTTACAAGCCTTTTCCAAAACATCATTTGTATGGAATATTAATTGACATCCAAATGTACAGCGATGGATGGTAAACTGCAGTCTTCATTACAGTCCTCTTTGTATTGTGAATGCAATAAATGACTTCCTGCGAAGTTCTAGAAGCAGTGTATCGATTTCTCTGATGTTTAGAAGTCAGAGATGAACGACCACAGGAACATAAAACAGCAGGGTCATCTTGTAAGCATAATGACGATAATCAGGAAATTCCAAGATTAATTTACGTACATTGCACGTACATTATGTTTAGTGTTCATAGTACTCTGAAGGGGAAAGTTGAGAAGAGGCGAACCGAAAAGGGACATACATGTAATGAGAAGGAGCGAAATGGGAAATGACTGACACGAATTGGGAAGGGGCGATATTATGGAAATTAATTAGGGGTGAATACAGTCGTTAGGGTGGGCCCGTGGGAGCTGGGCCCCAGCAAGTAAGAATTAAGCCCCAGCAAAACCTTGTTCAGTTCAGCAGAGAGATTGATTCATTTACAGTGTCTTTGTACAAAATCAAAAAGATAGAGATTTTGATACGTTTTTGACAGCTTAAAATTGTCTTTACTTCTTCAAATTTTCCGAGTACAAAATCTGAGCCCCAGTATCAATTCATTCTTGGCGTCGGGCTGGGGTGAATATCGGAATAACCTACTCTGACCAAAAGATTATTGTCACCAATTATATTTGAATTTTGTTAAATGTTTCAGGTTTGAGTGAACCAGTCAGTCTACCTGCCAAAGAGAAGGTTTGTGTGTTGTTTTAAGGGTCCTTGTGCAAAGCGTGTTCGAATACACCACGCGCAACTTGAACCCTCGAGGGTCGCCAGACAATCTAGATATCTCGAACCATTCGTATCTACGGTGGCCATAATTGTCTTACAATCTTCTTTATAGGCGGAAGTTACATCCGCGTTACAAAATAGGAGGTTATTGTCAGGCGTAGGTAGAATGTCCGAACATGTATGTTAATACCCTATCATTATTGTAATCAGAATATTGAAAAAAAAAACGGGCACGAATTTTCCCTCATTTCACACTACACGATGTCAATCTTCATCAATCTAATCTGATAAGAAGAGAAGGATTTAAAACTCCATTTCAGTTCATTTGAACTGCATGTTGTTTGTCTGACCGATCTAAAATCTGCTGTCAACCCACTATCGTCATTGAGCGAAAAGTGAATCAGTCGATGGTTAATACAGTTGATTATGGCATTCATTGACGTTCTTCCTGACAATATCTTAAGGTACATTCACACTTAAAACCTGGTGTCACCATCGCCCACTGGCCACGTCATATCAAATGGGAAACCTACAGTTAACCATCACCGTCTGGCAAATGTAAAGGGACATTCACACTTAAAACCTGCGGGAAACTATCGCCCACTGGAAGCTTGAAATCTAAAGGTGCATTCACACTTTAAACCTGTCTGGTACTCTCGGCTTCGTGTTAATTAAAGTTTTAGAGGTGATATACCGTTGCTGTATACTTAACCGTTGCAAAACGTCACTTCGCCTTATCAAATCGCATCACATCGCCATACCCAACTATTGCAAAATGTCGCAACGTAAGAATACGAGTTGAGCTGTTTCTTAGCAGATAAAAACCGATAATTGACACATTTTTTACTCGATTAAGTAGAAGGGATTGATCTAGATAACATGGTTCTCAAGAATTATTGACAAATTATGTCTGTATTTTTTATATCCCATCAGTTGACTGTCAATACTCTAAATGCTTTGATTTATTTTCAGACATCTTTCTTTGAATAACAATTATGTGGAGTTTTGCGTAGCACCGAACACCGTAGAGGGCTTATCATAAGCATGCCCTAATCTGCCTTAATCCCAGTCTCTGATAGATATTTTGACAATTGTAGGCTTGTATAAAAAAAAATGACAAAATATCTGTCAGAGGCTGGAATAGGGGCAGATGTTTCGGGCTAGCGCTAAGCATATGAAGACAAGCATGAAAATTGTCAGAAGTTGGGTTTACACAGATCACCTTAAAGGGTAATTCACATTAAGACGTCAACAAATACCAACGCTTATCTTAAATTATGAATGAAACCATCTTTGATTAATTTAATATGAACAAAGTCATGAATTACCAAGGTTGGAGTATATCACTGTGTCTAGCACACAATTTGATGAGTAGATTTGATCCCGGGGCTAAGATAAAGATTCCTCAATAAGATATGCATAATGACGATATAGCCTCGAGTACTGGCCACCATATTACCTTGCCCTGTGTTATTCGATCCGTTATCCAACTCCATCACATGTCTAACTAGACAGTCTAACTAGACAAAAATCTTTGTTCTCAGATCTTACCACAATAGTACCTTGCTTCTATCAATTTATCAATCACCCGATCAGTAATCAAACTCTATATCAGATATCAATCACCCATTACAAGCAGTGTCATGTCACCCAGTTCAAGCCAGGATAGATCTAGCTAGACCTATATCTGACCCCAGTGTTCTTTGCTTTCAGCACTGACCACATACCACAGAATACCCTGATCTGTGCTACTCTTACCGTAATCTACCTCAATAACCCGATATATCAACTCTAATCAATCTCTCACCCTTTTCAAGACAGGTTAGCTAGGCCTATTTTGGTATTAAGTCCTTAATAACTCCTTCTAAATCAGACCGACCAGACAAACCGGAAGTAGGAAAGATTTCAAGAGTCTCTTTAAAAAGAGAATGAATCTTACTTATCAAATTAAGTCGTGTGTGGAAAATATTGGTCTTTGTCTGTGAATAAAATGAAATCATTTGTCAGGAGAAATTGTACAGCTATTTTTGGATTCTAGATTAATTATTATGAAAACAGATGCTGCAATTCAACAAGTTTCAATTTCTTCTGTTTCCTCAATTGGTTTATGTCTGCAATCTTGTGATTTGATTTTGATCAGTTTACTGAAAATAGAACTAGTCCAAGGTCTCGGGGGTGATGTACGTCTTGATTGACCCCTCTACCACACACATAACAACATAATCCTGAGCTAGCTATAAACTATAGCGACTAGAACTTTAAAAAGCTGCAAAATATCTGTTTAAAATCTATGTGTGTATCTGGGACACTTATACCTTCTATACATTCAAATTTCCCGGTACACGTGTCTGGTTCTTGTTGTTGACAGAAAGACTGCACCCGATTGTGCTGACAGTATTGAAAATATAGTTTCTAATTACACATGTAAGACATTTGGTACTGAATAGATTTATAGTATAATCCAATCAAACGCTTTGTTGAAGTCATTAAACACACTTAGAGCTGATGTTCTAATTCTGATCTCATTTCGATGCAAGTAGTTTCTTGTAAGAAACGTTGTATTGAATGAACTATTTCAGAGGACTAGAGTTGAATCCAATCAAACGCTTTGTTAAAATCAATAAACTTGATTTGGTTGCTTTAAAGTTCAAAGGACATACATACGTGGGTAACGTGGTTGTGATGAGCTGGCTTTATTTAATATCACTGATGTAGGTTGAAAGACGTACTGACCACATAAACCTGCAATTTATTGGCCATTTGATCTGGTTATGGTGTTAAAAGTGTCATAATATTTAAAGTGGTGTTTAAAGATTTAATAAAGTGTCTTGAAATTTAGATCAAAGGATAAGAGAAACTGTACGAGATATCAGCCAATATTACGCTAAATGATGAAACGGTGAGGTTGTTGACATACATCCTATGATCTTGGGGGTAAAATCGAACACCAGGGGAGTGGAGGGGGGGGGGGGGGCGTTGTACCGCGGGGTCTTTTGGATAAGTCTCAGATCAAGTTAGGTGTGGCATTTAAACTCATCAGCTATTATATAATATTTTACCAATGAATATTACTGTAGGAAGATACCATTGATCAGGTTACAACAAATTGGCGTTTGGTGTAAGTTTCATTGACCTGCACACTATATCAACAAAGGTGTAGCTCTCTGTTATACAAATCGATCAAGATCATTCAAACTTATATCCACCCTTGAAATAAATCACGATTGTAACCAAGATCAAAAACTATATTAAAAAGATATTTAATATAATAAAAATGCCACATTCCTGCCCTTTCAGTACTCCGTTTAATGTAAACACATACAATACGTAAATATATGACTACAACAAAGCATTTTTAATATTGTTATCTATTGAGAGTCTTGATAAGTTTTCTTTTCAATTTCTTTATAAGTTAGAGATAAAGGGTTAGCAAATTATCTTACACGCTTTAGGCCGTGGTTCCCAGGGAGTAATAATATCCTTAGAGACATCTTGACAATGTCAAGCTATTGCTAACTTCGTCTAACCTCGGCTGCAATAGTCACAATTCTTGTAACAGCTTGACATTGTGAATACGCCTTAGGGGTACCAGCAGAAACCTAGTCCTTGGTTACCACCCTGTGGTACCAAAACGAACATACGTGATACCTGAATCTGCACACGGATGTGCTATAATATCAGAGATGAATCCATACGTCTATGCAT